CAACCCAATCCAAAAATGGGCAGAAAATCTAAATAGATATTTCTCCGAAGAAGATATACCAATTGCCAACAAACACATGAAACGATGCTCAACATCACTAATCATTAGAGAAATGCAAATCAAAACTACAATGAGGTATCGCCTCACACCAGTCAGAATGGTCATCATCAAAAATCTACAAACAATAAATGCTGGAGAGGGTGTGGAGAAAAGGGAACCCTCTTGCACTGTTGGTAGGAATGTAAATTGATATAGCCACTATGGAGAACAGTATGGACGTTCCTTAAAAAACTAAAAATAGAACTACCATACAACCCAGCAATACCACTACTGGGCATATACCCTGAGAAAACCATAATTCAGAAAGAGTCATGTACCACAGTGTTCATTGCAGCTCTATTTACAATAGACATGGAAGCAACCTAAGTGTCCATTGACAGATGAATGGATAAAAAAAATGTGGCACATATATATAATGGACTATTACTCAGCCATAAAAAGAAACGAAATTGAGTTATTTGTAGTGAGGTGGATGGACCTAGAGTCTGTCATACAGAGTGCAGTGAGTCAGAAAGAGAAGAACAAATACCGTATGCTAACACATATATGTGGAATCTTAAAAAAAAGAAAATGGTTCTGAAGAACCTAGGGGCAGGGCAGGAATAAAGACGCAGACATAGAGAATGGGAGAATGAACTTGACACGGGGAGGGGGAAGGGTAAGCTGGGACAAAGTGAGAGACTGGCATGGACTTATATATACTACCAAATGTAAAATAGATAGCTAGTGGGAAGCAGGGAGATCAGCTCGGTGCTTTGTGACCACCTAGAGGGGTGGGATAGGAGGGTGGGAGGGAGACGCAAGAGGGAGGAGATATGGGGATATATGTATATGTATAGTTGATTCACTTTGTTATAAAGCAGAAACTAACACACCATTGGAAAGCAATTATACTGCAGTAAAAATGTTAAAAAAAAAGAATGTAAAATCAAGAAGAAACTATTTTAAATTTAAAAAAAAACAAAAACTTCAGATCCAGACAGAGGAACATGCTTCAGTTTCTGGGTAGACTTTTGAGAAGAAAGTATATGACATAAATCCAGGAAGACAAGCCATATTCTCCAAGAAGAAAAGGGCAGTCAGTAACGGGAAATGGTGGTGTGATGTCAATAGGAAAACCTTGGCTATTATCATCTATGTTTTCTACAGAGTTTAGGACGTTGACCCATTATGATTTCTTGTTTCCTACCTAAACAGTATTTCAGGCAACAGCCTTAATGTTCATCAGAAGCAGAACTTAACATTTATTCCCAAATGATTTAAGACTAGAGATGTGGCTTCAAAGCTTCTAGGGTAGCCACCAGATGATCAGGTCAGAAGCATGAACCTGACTTGTGAGGGCGTATTGGCTCACTGTAACCACACAAGGAATTATCAAGAAAGAGCCAAGAAAAAGAGAATCATTGACAAGAACATGATTTAAATGTCTGGTCAGCTTATTCTTTCCCCAAGGTAGTTGTCAGTAGCCTAGATCTGAGGAGACCCCACATGAGGTATGAACTAGTGGATAAGAAAATGTAGCCACTGAGCAGCAAGGAGAGAAAATATTCTTGAAAATTGTAAAGGTGTGAGTTATTTTCTAAGACCAGATAATTTAATTTATTGATAAAGTAACTTGCTCACGTCATCTGTGAAAACTTCTCTATGTGCTGATTCCTGGAATCTGTGCTGTTATTTGCAGTTATTGTTTCCGATACCACCCGCCCCACAACTGTACCAAGTTAAAATTACATGGTTTCTTTTTATGCATTTGCCTGCTCTCATGTGAACTGATGACATGGTGTCCACTCAGTATCTCCATTGGTCAGCTCATTGCATCCAGGATGAGGCCTCATATTTGAAATGGAGTCGCGAGAGGGTGACCTGGCAGTTGGATCTAGAAAGCAGTGCTTCTTGCGATTCAGTCCTTTAATAATTTGGTGCAAATCATCTCTCTCCAGAAAAGCTTCCACGGGCACTAAAATCTGTATTTTGTAAGGTTTCACTAGGGTCTGTGGCCCAAGGGTAAGAACTTTAGCTTTAGAACATGCTTTAGAATTTTGACCAGGTTCTTACTCTAGAAGTTAGTTGCATTTATGAGGCAAATCATTCATTAATTCAATAGGTATTAAATGAGTACCAATTTTGTGCCCATTTGTGGGATGTATCTGTGAGCAAGATCTTAGGAAACTTACATTCTATGTGGAGGTAGATAATAAGTAAATAAATAAAAAATTCAGATTAGTACTATGTACTGAGAGGAAAATAACACGGTCGTTTGTCAGAGTGGCCATATGCAAGAAACTGTTTTAGACTGAGTGCCCAGGGCAATTGAGATGAGACCTAATTCATTAATCACTAAGACTATAAAATCAGCTGTTTTGATAATGACTTTTAAGAAGTCAGCCACAAGGTTAATATCAATTTCCTTCTTAACTGCTGTAAGTATATCATATTTTGAGAGCATCTCTGTTCTCTGTACTTGGATGCATTCATATCGCATAAAGTAATGCTGTCCTCTGGTGGTAGTCAGTTTAATAGCATGCCAGCTCTACTTAGGCAAGTGGCAAATCTATTTCAAGGGTGTACTGAATACAAGGGTGTATTCAGTGGGATTTATTTCTAAAAAATAGATGTCTTTTTTAGATTGCTTTTGATTTTAAAAGGTCTCTACAATTATAATGCATTTGAAGATCTTATTTAATCTTAAATAAATGCTTGGAGTAGTTTTCTGTGTTCAACAATACTTACACAATGGAAGGAAAGATTACCTAGGAAATAGGAAGCACTCAACTCTCAGAACTGAAAGCAGATTAATGGTAAAAAATAAATCAGACAAAGTGAAGTGCTAATTCAAGTGTGGTAAAGCTGAGACTTGAACTTGTTCATCAAAACATCTATTATATTCAATTCCCCATTCCAAAAGGCTTATGTATACCTTAGAACACTTTATTAGTAGAAAACTTTTTAAAAGAATATACTTTGGAATTTGAAAAGACAAATGACATTATTTAGAAACAGTGAACATTGTTAATAAAACTTTATATTTATTAAACAATAAAGTTCCATTGATATATGCCCATATTCTTAAATTTAATATTCTAATTATTTGGTCTTTCTTTTAAATACCAATTTTTTAATATTTTGTTTTCTACAATATGGACATTTTGTAACTCTTTTCTAAGTTTTTAATTGAAAGGTTCTTTTTAGAATAATGATTTTTATCTCCTAGTAGTTTTTTGTTTTGCTTTTTTATTTTAGAAAATATATATAACAGATTTGAGAAAGTATTAGGTACCTAACAGTTAGAAAATTCTGACTTACTTCTCTAAGTCTAGGAAAAATGTATTGTGGCTAGAGTCTTCTTTTACAGTGGTGTCTCTTTTTAAGGCCCTTGATTGGGTAATTTATTTCCATTCTTTCTGGTAGTTACCTCAATAAGAGTAAAACCCGTCAAGATTGGTAACGGCACATATTTCTAGTTGAATCTTTATCAGCTGATATATACAATTTTGAATTATTCACATTCCATGGTCTAGTCATTATGTACTACTTGAATGCAATTGTGTAATTTGGTTTTGAATGCCCCATAGTGATTTCATAATTATGGCATAAATCACAATAAATGGTCTGAAATTATTTTTGACTAAAGATAATGTGAGTGGAGAGAGTATGTAATTTAACTGGACAGTGTGGATTTTTGTTTACGTTTATTTCACAGAAATAATGATATCTAGCCTTTATTTCATCTTCCATGATCTTTTGCTGGATAGGACACCTGAAGCTCCATGGTCTCTTTTATTTTATGCTTAGCTTGAAAATGTTGAGTTAATATTGTTTTATGAAGGTTGGCTGGTAAGAATTAAAGGAACATCTTTGTAAGGACTTCAGTGGGAAAAAAAAAAAAGGAGCCTCTCTATATGTGGTACCTGTCATCTTGATATTCTGATAGATTGACTTTCTTTTAGGTATGGAAGGGGAAAACGGCCAGACCTTTATTTGAAGGAATGCTAGACTTTTAGAATATATATACATGTGTGTGTATTTGTTTTGTTAGTTGCTGATCAGTGATTTTCATTTAACTTTCAGTTCATACCAACCTCAGCATTGCTCTACATGTGTTGCATCTTCTCATGACTAGGAGAATTTACTGTGAGAAAAACTAGTTCTCTCAGGGATCATGTCTACGTTTTTTCCACCTAGGAGTAAAAACCAGATATTTCTTAAATAGACTACAAAAACTGAATCAGTTTTCAACTGCAAAACTGAATCACCTTGATTATGCTGTTTTAAATGTTAAGCATATTTTCCCTTAATTAAAATAACATGATAAGCTTGACCTTCTTTAACCTCTAAAGAATTAAAAGTGCCAGTCTTAGCATTCTTACTCTATTTAATGTATTTTCTCTCTTCCACTTTGTAAATATGATGGAAAATGTTTGTTGAAGAGTGTTTTGGGGATTTATCTTTTTAGTTTTGGAATCTAAACTAATTCTTAATGAAAATAAAATCCCCAAATTAGGCTCATTATTGCTTTTTTAACAATGGCTTCAACAATCATATATGAATACCAGGAAAAAAGGGAAAGAATACATAAGATGAACTTTATATAACAGCATGCCATTGCCAGAAATTAGTATCTGAAATAGAATGTGATGGGTCAGTTGGGGTTCGGAACTTTATGGCTTTTTAGTTAGTCTTCGTGCAGAGCCTTTTCAGTTTAGTGGCTCCTTTTAATGTTGCATAGAATGTCTTGCTATTCTAAAAAGGCACACTGATGAAATGATAGTAACAACTTTGCCATTGTTTCACTAATATATATGCTTCATTGGTATGTTCACTGTTTATGTTGCACTAGCCCGTGGCTTTCTATGGCATTTAAATTAATATGATAGATTCAGCCTTACTTTGCAACATTTTAGTATTTTTATAATAAAAGGAGTATTTCCCTCCATCTGCAGGTGCTGCTGCTTTTTCAAACGAAGGAAAAGGAAAACCATACAGCGCCACAAATGACTCTGGACACAGACAGATCATGGGGAGTTACTTACATGTTCATCTGCTGTCTTGTGATTAAAATCATCTCTGTAGTGACCACATATATTTTCAAGAACTCACTGTTAGAAACAAAAATGTCATACTTTCATACTTCATTTTGTGGTTGTCTTACATTCGTATTTTTTTCTAATTTAACTTTTATGGAAGCTTTAAAGTTTTGTCAAAACATGAGTGCTTTGCCCATCATTGAATGGAATGGACCAATGAGGTGGTATTGATGAATTACAGTTCTGTAGAACATTTTTCAGAAGCTCTCCTCCTGTTGTAGAAAGCAGTACAGTATCTTAAATGTCAACCAATTATATACCTAATCTGATTTTTGTAACTTCTGTGAGAGAATAATCACAGGGGAATTTTCTCCCCAGTGGATAATGCAACAGAGAAAACAGAGTTGCCCAAATATTTAAAAGAAGTTATCCCTTGAGAAGATCATTATCTGTGTGACATCTGCATTGATTTCACTGTTACTGTCGGTACTGCTATTCATGAGTCATATTAACATTCTCTCTGTGAAATCATGGTACAGTTACTGCCCAGAGGTACTGAGGAAAAAGCTCTATGGGTTTGGCAGATGGTGGTGGTAAAATGAATCACAAGTAGTGTGGTAAATATGAGCTCTGCTTTTGTTGCACCACTAAGTGAAGTACAGTGTTGTCGAAGTGGCAAAAGCGCTTATTTTTTAAAAATGCAAAATATTTGTATAATGTAACTTTATGCTTCCAGATAATAATGTATGTTAGACAGCAAGAAATGAATACTTTGAGAAATGAGATATGTTGGAGTTTTTTGAAAAATACACTAAGGAGAAGGAATAAATGTGAATCTCACCGCATCATATGAGGCTGAAATCTAAGGAGATCCCACTGAAACCTGCTGCTGAACGATTACATTCACCTTAAGCAGAAAACTTTGGATGTGCCACACAATGGTGTCTGTTTATTAATTATTTGCCCTTTGATTTTAAAAAAAGACCCTCAGCAATAGAAACGGGGTCACTCTATTGCCGTCTGCGCACATTAGTCTCTTGTATTCAACTTTGCTGGTTCTCTGGAATTTTCCTACTTTTTAGCGTAATTGTGATGATTGAAAACTATTTTGGAGAGGATGGGTCAGGTGCTTTGTCCCCATAGTCTTTTGAAGTGCCTGCATATGAACAAAGTAATGGTTCTGTAAAAAAAGGAAACCCATTCCACTTTTCAAGTATGCTTTGTTTTAAGCCATGAAGACACAGGTATACTTTTGTCACATTCTACTAGCCAGAATTTGCAAGGAGAGTTAAGACAAAAAGACTGGCTAGAAAGATAATTATGTTGTTCAAATCTCACATTCACCTTTCATTCATGAACTTGTTGCTTACTCCTTCCACTCAGCCCCTTCTTTTTGTCTTTAAGTGTGTGCCTCCGGGCATGCTTATTTATTTTTATTGTCTCAAGGTAACATTTAAAATATGTAATTAAAGTAAATAAATCTACATTTTTGACATTATTGCATTTACAGGAATTTAACTGTACTTTCTAATTTATTTTTCTTATTAGCCAAAAGTTCAGTGCATTGTTTTTGAAGAATTAGGCACCCATATGAATACCGCAAATCAGGACATTATCATTGTTGCTCTGAATCTATGAATGATCTTTATAAGTTCTTGATTTTAAAGATCTACACTCAGCCTAGAAAACACTTGTTGTATAATTTGGTCAACAGTTTCCATTTTATCTATTTGTATACTGTCATGATGTCTTAAACTACAGGAGTTACATACTGAGTTTTTATTTTTGTTTGCTTTGAGCAAGGTAGATGGATGTTTTGGCCATTATAATGTGAAACCACTTCTTTCTTTACAGTATTTGACCAAATTTGTGTGTCTATGATATTTGTAAATACATGCGATATCTGTATTTCTTATCATAAGCCTGTTTAGTTTTATTCTCAGTAGGGTTTTTGGACTGTACAGTGTTTATATGATCTGAACTCCTTATACATAAGAAGGTGTGTATATTAATCCAATTATGGACTTAAAATATTTTAAAACTATAAATACCCTTATTTGCTGCAAAGACCAGTGTGTAGACATTTGCTTTTTAGCAATATTTTTAAGTGCTCCATTTTAATGCCAAGGAATAAGTCTTTTGGCAACACAAACTGGTCAATAATAAGTAATGCAGGTATGTTCAGGTTAAGCCAACAATGTTTTGCATTTTTATGCTTCTTTTCTGTCAACACTAATGAAGTCAACATTGCCTGAATGTCTGAATAATGAAACACATCCCTGTTTAAAAGTATGTAACTGAAAAAGAAATAAAAAATAAAGGTAGTTTTTTTAAACTTGCTCTTTCCCCTTTCCTCTAATATGGGTAAAATAATGCCACTTACTAATTGAAGACAGGAATTTTAAAAATTCAGTTTATTTAATTTACTAAATGTGAAAAGCAGAGCTAAAGGAACATTCGTTTGTGTTTTTTGATTTTGTTTTGCTTTGTTGGAACCCTATTGTAAAGAGTACATACCTGGAAGTATCTAAGCTTTCTTTAATGAAAGTTAAAAAAAATTTTTTTATACTTCTCTGAACTCCTTAATAGAGCAATTAATTAGAACTAATGCCACTAATAAACCGAGGGAAACAAACTGAATCATTTCATTCCTTTTCAAAAATGAAGTCATATTATGATGTTCACAGAAATGAAATATTATTAAATCCAATTTTAAGTGAATGACTTTAATATCATTCCAGATAAAGAGCATATATCTGTGACAGTATCTCACAGTTCATCATTGTGCTAGGTGCTTTAAGGTGCTCTGCTTACTGAAAGATGCCAAAGGTAAGATAAGTCAAAGCAGCACACACTAAGCCCATGTGTGTCCATTAAGCACCACCATTCAGAAAGAATAAGATATGGAGATGAAACATGACAGGTTAAGCATGGGTTAAAAGGCCCTGTCTAGAAATATCTGACCTAAGATTAGGTTTCAATCTGAATGACTGTATAGTTGCATTAGCACCCTTTTCTTTTGCAAGTGACAGAAACTTAACATGGCTTCAGCAATAGGCATGCACATTGTTACATTTAACTGAAAAGTCCAGTGATAGGAGTAGCTTCAGGCATGCTTGATCCTGGTGCAAAGTTCAGGAGTCTGTTTTTCTCTGTATCTCTCAGTTTTGCTTCCTACTCTGCTGTTTTCATTGTCAGGGAGATTCTTCATGTGTGATGGTAAAGTGACCACCCAGCAGCTTCAGACTTCTGCCATAATCTCAGCCAAAACAAAGGACAGTTTCTCTCAACAGTTCCAACAAAATCCTAAGACTGACATTTATTCCTTCATTGGTTCACATGCCCACCCTCGAGCCAACTACTGTGACCCAGGGAATGTTGTTCTCCCATCTTCAGAGGACACACTGAACTGAGAAATAAGGTAGAAGGGGGTGTTCCCCAAAAGGAAATGAGGATATTGTTACCAGAAGGAGAGTGAATGGATTCTGCGCAGGCAATCTAGATATCTTCAGTCATGGTGAGAAAAACAAAATAGAGTATAAAGGCAAACTTAATTGTTTTAAATTAGAAAACATTGTTATTACTGAGACTTTTATTAATGTGAATATATTATTGGAAATCACTAATATGGTGAATGAATACATTTGAAAAATGTTTTGGACTCAGGTAAAAACAGGTCATAAGTACCCTATTTGATGTGCTTTTGTTTAGTTTTAAAGGTTTTTGTGATAGAATTGGATTAGTAGAGTTAAAAGCTAACCTTTCTTCTAGAAGAGAAATAAATTGAATTATAAAGCTTTGCTGATGTTTGGGTTAACTAGTTTCTTCTCTGACCATCTCTAATACAGACCCACATATTATTTTCTTAGGAAATTTACTTCATAAGAATACATGGATCGTAACCAAAGAAAGAACTACATATAGAAGTATTATCAGGTAATACTGCTGGGATATGAAAATGGTTTTAGAAAGAACACTTGTTCACAGCAATGTTTACCATACTGTGATTTTACTCAAATTGAAGAACACTCCTGCACTGCTCTAGACTAGGGGTTGGCAAACTTTTTTGTAAAGTTTAGGATTTATGGGCCAAAAGGCAAAATTAAGCCTTTTATATACTTGTGTAATGAGAAAGAAAACAAATTTCCACTACTTTTTTATTGATGAAATTAAAAATATATATGAACACTTGAGTACAAATTTTTTGTAATACAGGTCTAATGGTAAAAATTAAGTTATTTTGAGAGGATAATATTTCACTTAATTGGGGTTTGAAATCGATTGCAAATGTTCATCTGTTATGCTGATCTGTAATGTGATTTTACGTATTTCATCTCTGAAAATGTCCTCATACAGATAGATACTACCAAATACTGTTATCAGTCCACAAGTGTGTGGATGTTAATTGAGCATATTCACCATTTGGAAGGTGTTCATAGAATTCCATTAGATTCTGCTCTTGATATTTGCCTTTGACATATCATTACATCGCAGATTAATTACTTTTAAAGTTTAGATGGATGCTCCTTATTTATACAGTTAAGTGGATTTTGTAATATGGAAATTTCCTGTGCACTTGGATTGAGATCCAAAGATGTAGCTGGAACTGCAGTTGAGTTTGGAAAACACATCCACTGCAAATTTGTGTGGGAATGGATATCTTGCTGCTCGTGTTAACTAGACAGCATGGGAAGTGTCTAAAGCAGCTTGACATAACTTGTGATTTAAACAGCATTAGTTGTCATCAAAATGACTTTGTTGCAGTATAAATTTCACATATAAGTGCTGTTTTGCCTTGTAATTTTTAAGTTGAAGTTATTAAGAAACATTATCAAATCTGCAGCAAAAGCTAATTTTCAAATCCATTCAGTGTTCGTTAATAATAGGTGAGGGTGATACTCATTCAGAAAAAATTCACTTTTGGTCCTGAGCTCAAAAAATTGCAATAAAACTTTATTACTTCTTTCAAACTGCTGTGTAGTTGGGCAAGTCAGGATATTCAGTTTCTGTTTCTAATGAAAATGGAAGTAATGATAGTTAAGACTGCCAAGAGTGAATGAAATTCACCATTGACTTTACAAGTTCATTAACATGATATTCAAATAGTTCCCACAAAATACCTGCTGATGAATAATATAAAGCATAAACATTGACTTTAAACATTTTACATTTTTACAAGCTTTGTAAATTTGCCCAGTAAACCTTTTTCTGCTCCACATGTCTTTACCACCATTAAGTTACTTCACATCTTAGCAGATTCTACTTTAATTAGCACTGATGTTTTCTCAAGTTCTTTAAAAATATTCTTTCTTATAGTTGTTCCATGGAGACTATTCACAGAGGGTACTTCTTGGGGCACTTCAAACTCAGTATTGACTTCCCTAGTAATCAGTAGCTGGCAGTATTGGTAACATCTGTTGACTCATCAAAAGCCAAATCATTTTGCCTTATCTTTTAGTTGGCAATTGATGTCTTCAAGCAACTGTCCTTGCTAAAAAGCTAGTGGTCTTCAACATGTTTTTCTCCTCTGGACACACTTTTTAGCTGCTGCAGTCAAACACAATTAGCTTTAAGTCACCATCAATAAAGAGCATTCTTTGCTTGGCTAACAAATGAGCCACTTGGAAAGTAAGTGGCTTGCACCCTCATTCTCATTTTTTTTGTGTGTTTGAATAAATTCTATTGTGATGAGATATTCTGTTTTAAAGTTTTCTAATTGTTCTTACTGTTGCTTTTCTGTGAGTTGGGGATATTGTGATGAGTGCTTAGTCTGGTAATGTGAAAATAAATTGTATTCTTTTAACACAGCTGAAGTGTCATTGCATAATAAACATGATGCTTTGCCATATAATTGTATAACAAAATAATCCACATTCAACTGTGCCTTAGAAGCGCAACACTCAAAGTTCACCTTACTTTTTTTTTACATGATTAATATTCATTAGTAAAAAAAAATAATAAAATGTCTGTATGACAGTATGTGTGGCACTTGAAATGCTGTCAGATTATAACTGCATCACTGAGATTTGTAGTGTGTTGAACAGCAGTGTAAAGCAGTGAGAGCACCACATATGGTCTCTGTCACAACTATTCAACTCTGCCTTTGTAGCATGAAAGCAGCCATAGACAATATGTAAATGAATGAGTATGGCTGTGTTCCAATAAAATTTTATTTATGGACACTGAAATTTGAATTTCATATAGTTTTTATGTGTCATGAAGTATTCTTTTGATTTTTTTTTAACCCATTTAAAAATGTAAGTACCATACTTAGCTCGTGGGCCAAGTAATAACAGGAGGCGGGCTAGATTTGACTTGTAGCCTGTAGTTTGCCAACCTCTGTTCTAGACCACATTGGAAAGATATGGATGTTGGAGGTTAATTTTTTTTAACCTGATTGAGTGACACAACTTATCAAAAGATAACTTTTCTTCACTTTATAAAAGGAAGGGTCATTTTGAAGTAACATCAAGAATTATGATAATGTTAAAGAAAATGCATCATAGCGCTTATGGGAGTTAGGAATAAATGAGATAATTCCAGCTCCCATATGAACTTAGATGTTGAAGCAGTGAATGGTCTTGGAAAGAGCATGAATTTGGGGACCAAACAAATTTAATTTGATTCTCAGCTTCTTCACTTTCCTTGTGAGAACTGTGGCAAGTTATTTGACTTCTTAGCATCAATTTCCTCACCTCAGATTGGAGTAATGCCTTCTTTGCAGCATGTCTCTGAAGTTTGGCAATGATATTTATAATAGCTCTCCGTGCAAGCTGCCATTTACCATTTCTTTCATGATAAACTATAATTGAAAACTGAGCAGCACCTTTATTTCTCACACAGAGTGTATGCTTCTGCTCCTTGAGACAGGAACAAGGTCTGGTATTTATTAAACTGTGTCTTAGATTGAAGCTGTCATTCCTATCTGTTTAAAAATACTTGCACACTAACTCTATCGCATTGCACAATTGACTATTTTGACTCAATGGCATTGATAAATTCAAAATCATTAATTCTGTACCTTTTTTGATAAAAATAACAAACAGCAGAGGGCAAGGGCAAAACCCTATATCAAGTCACTCTAATCCTGCCTTAAGGTGAATATCAATCCACTGAATGCATAACAGATACCTAAGAGGTCTCTCTAATCCTTCTCCACCGCTTGACTACCATTAGCTATTTATGTTTTTCTGAAATCTAGGTGAACCATTCAGTCCGTTTCTTTGCCCTCCCATTCTCATTATCCCATCTGAAAAAGGAACTGGATTTAGTTTGCAATGTCTTTTCCTAGTGAATCCATGTTTACTTCTAAAGATCACCATTTCTAATATTACAAATTGCCTTTTAACTAATTCAGTCTAATCTTACTTGGATTCAACATTATTTACCAACCTGTAGCTGTATAATCTACCTTTTCTTTTTTTAAAATAGGAATTTCATTTCCAGTCTAGTCTTTTTGCCTTGCTCCATTTACCATCTGCCAAGTCTCTCAGGATGGCTTTTGTCCAGGTCTGGAGACTTAGTTGTTCTTTGAAAATATTTGTACATGTGATGGGCTTCATTTCCTTCTTGCTTTTCCCCCTCATCCCCCACTTAACTTTCTAGACTGAAGATTATTCTTGATTAAAAAAAAGATGGTAAAAGAAAATTTTTAAAGAAGCTAAGTCTTACATTCTTTTTGTCATTCTTCAACCCTTTCCTTACATTTGGCTCTACACGTAGTTTATAAAACCCTTTTTTATTGACTTTAGCTTTTTTTTCCTTTTAAGAAATCATCAGCTAATTGGGAGGGGGGGGTTAAAGATTTTACCATTTCTTATATTCATTTGCTATGCACACTCTATTTATTTCCAGTCTTTTAAGAGTCAAACTTGTCAGAAGAGACATTTTTTGCAGGCTTGCTCCTTTTTTCCCCCCCTTATCAGAGCCATTTTTAATTGCAGAACTGGAATCACAGTCTTGAGTTCCCTTCACTAGGTATCACCAATCTTAAGATGAGATGATCACATTCTCTCAAGATTCCTGACCCCTACCACTTTATCAATCACTTCCTTCTTGCTGGTCATTTTGGTGGTCCAGAGTAGGAATTTCAATTTTTGCTATCTCTGTTTTCTGGAAGATTAGTTTTTTTGGCATATAAAGAATTGTCAGATGCTCTGGTTATGTTAAATTAAGAGAGATGTTGTTTGGACAGTCGGAGCCCTCTATCATGACTAAACTTTGTTTCCCAATTCTGGGCTTTTTAAATTAAGGTTTATGTATTCAACTACTTTTTTTTTTTTTTTAACACCTTGTTTCAGGCAATGGGCTGTGTGCTTAAATCTGATTTTTCTGGCCTGGCATTCTGTAATGTATTTTCATAGTTGTATCCTGATGTTTTCCTCTCTTCTTTTCCCGCATATTTTCCACAGTGCATTTTACCTTGGGTGTCCAAGTTTCAGTGTTATAAGTCCAGGATACTTCCCTATACCTCTCTTCTCATTTGTGTGTATTCCAATCAGGAATCTCACCATACCCATTATCAGTAACTCCTGTGTCATATCTACCATGCCCTGTTTTTATCTAAGTCTTGTTGTTTATAGCTCTTGTCTGTACATTAGTGTGAAGACTGCTGGGTGTTGTTTTCAAACTTCCTGCTTAAGTTCTCTTCTTGAGTGAATCACTTGGCCATCTCTAACCTGATGGTGTATATAACAGCCACTTTCTTGTTTTTTATCTCATCTTTTCACCCGCATCCTCATTCAGTTAAAAAAATCTCTTTAACAAGTCAAATATACTCAAAGCAATATCTCATGAGATGACATTCTACCCATTTTAAATTGTGCCTTGGAAATTAAAGTCTCATTTAAAAATACCATATGGGCAAGAAAATCACTTACTTCCTTCTTGTACTTTGTATTTTGTCCTGAATCCCATACTGACTTTGTCAGGATGCCCTAAATATTCTATAGTCAGCTTTTTTTGGAATTTAATGTTATAAATTGTGTATAAATATGTAAATATATAAAATGAATTATAAAAATTTGGCAATTAGAGCTATTTTTCCTCCACAGTAATCGGTGCTTAAGTTACTTAAATGGCAACAACAGCTGAAAATAGTACCTTGACACATTAACATCCGGACAAACCTGTATGGTCTCTTCTACAGTTTTGGCTGGTAGAAGACCGAAAGAGAGACTAAGAATTGAAAGTACTTATTTTTCATATTCAAGAAAGGTTTAAGACTATTCTTTAGTCAAAGTCCTAAGTTGCGAACAAGCAACCACTGTTAATCAAGATAACTTCCAATCAATTCACAAGCGCTGACAGTGAATCAGTGACATTATCACTGCAGTGGCCCTGCTTCTGAAAATGAGCAAGTCGACAGCAACCTGACTCCAGCCTTCTGAAGTGGAGCAAATCAGTGACAGCCCCACATTTGCGGACAACAGCTGAGCAGAAGTGCCTCACTCCAGGGGCCACACTCCTGAAAGGCAGCTGGCCAGCAGCAGCCTTCCTCCCGAGACACACCCCAGGGGGTTTAGCAACCTTTTTGTTTCCCTAAACCCTGCTGCACCATTGTAAATAGTTCATTTTTTACATTTTTCTCTATTACTCTGGGTTCTCTCCTTCTGTGAAGCTGACTGATACATTGAGGTACTAGGAAAAAAATTTTTTTGAGTAATGGATTTTAATGTAAAAAAATGTTTGGAAAGTACTGCCCTAAATCATCGGGGAATATTATATTCATTCCTTATGTGGTACTTAAGAAAACAAAACTATATATTCTCTATATTAATAGTATATAGAAAGATTTCTATCCTAATGTATTAAGCAAGATCTGACACCTGGATCAACAAAGCTTTCATGGTCAAGACCATCTACTGGTGCCGACTCATTTCTCAAGAAGGCCTGCTTGGCAAAGTAGATTAAGGCTCCTTTGTGCACATCTTAAGAGAAACAGCTCTGAGTTTTAGGTCTCTCACAGAAGGATCAACTATTATCAGTGGTGTTGGGCAACTAGAGTCTCAGCTACTGGGGGGATATGGGACCCTGAAGGAAAGGTAGCAGCGAGAAACTGGGCATAGGGTGCTGTGGTTGAAAGTTTGGACTTTGTAGTTGGATAAACCTGTGTTTAAGTAAGTCATGGTTCCGACACTTGATGGCTCTATGACCTTGGGTAAACTGCTTAACCTCTAAGCCTCAGTTGCCTCATTTCAAGAAGGAAATTAATAACACTGATTTTCCTAAGTTTTGGTGAGGAAGATGTGATATGTTCATTGTAGCCAAGTTTGGCTCGTAGTAGGTGCTCAATTAATAGTAGCTGTTATTGGCTATTATTTAAGCAGTACAGGGCAGAAAATTACCAAGGAAAAGATGATGTGATGGAAACCTCGATTGTACATTTAGCATGAAACTGAGACATATGTTTGTAGTAATTCAGATATCTGTGAATGATGCGTTTGTGGCAAGGAACAAATCAATGGGGAAATTAAATTTATTTTGGAGGTAACAGAAAAAAAGACTACTGAGAGAGATGGTAGTGATTCTGGTGACTAAGTGTCATATGTTCCCTCTCTCTCTTCTCTTCCACCTCAGCAGGGACACATTGGCTTCAGAGAAGGAGGACTGGAATAGGAAATTAGAAATGTGTTCTGTTCAGGAATTAACCCCTAACTAGCTTTGTCAATCTTTCTGGGTATCCATTTCACCTCTAAGGGAACTGTTAGGGACTGAAAGTTTGTATCCCCTCAAAATTCATATGTTGAAACCGTAACACCCAGTGTGATGGTTTTAGGAGGTGGGGCCTTTGAGAGGTAATTAGATGAAGTCATGAGGGTAGGGCCCCCACTGTGGGGTTAGTGTCCTTGTAAGAAGAGGAAGAGAGACCTGAGTTCTCTTTCTCTCTCTCTCTGCCACGTGAGGGCACAGCGAGAAGGTAGCCCTCTGCAAGCAAGGAAGAGGACTCTCACCAGGTACCAAATCTGCCATTCCAGCACCTTGATCCTGGACTTCCCAGCCTCCAGAGCTGTTGTTTAAGAAACCCAGTCTATGGTATTTTGTTTTACCAGCTTAAGCCGACTAACACAGATTTTGATACCAAAAACTGGAATGCTCTTGTAACAAATACCTAAAACTGTAAAAGTGGCTTTGG